ATTTATTTAATTCTCAGCTATCACCAAAAGCACATGATCTGTAATCAGTTTAATTGAAACAAAACTGAATTTAGAAAATAAACCATACACATTCAGGGCATCTCCAGTTGCCAGGGAGAGGAGATCTCGGTGGCGGAAGTAAACACTTAGAATGGTAAGCATAACTGCATGTTTCACAGCACAAAAGATTCCCAGTTTCGCCACAGGCCTGACATGAATTCTCTTTCTATTGACCCCCAAAAGAGAAAAATATAAGCAAAGTCCTTGTCATAAATTTTCTACATAGAAAGGAAACATGAAAACACAGCAGTTTTGAAAGAGTGATAACAATCACCCACAAAAGGACAAATAACAATAATTACTTGAAATTTTGAATAGAAAATATAAAACATATTAGAAAGTAATATTTTCTTTCAAATATCGAAACTAAATATAACTTCCATCACACTAAAGGTTAAAAAAAACAAGAGAATAAATAATAATAAAAAGTAGAAAACAAACCGCATCGCTCCTAACAATCTTTTCAAACTTTTCCTCAGCTGTCCCAGGTTTTCTAGTTACAAAATCGGCCTCATCATCTGATTCATCAATGTTGTAAACTGGCCTTCGGTCTGACCTAACGCGAAGCCTCTCAACCAAGCTACTCATATTCTGCAAGCAGGGAGTGGGGAGATCTATTGAATCAGAAGCAGGTGATATTATCGTAAACCCTAAACCCTAAACTCAATTTATGTGACAGTATAAAGTATCGGAAAAATTTTATATAAGTACCGCCAAATGATCAACTGTATTTAGCAAGGTGCTATTATCTTTAACCAAAATGGCAAAATATCAATTGTCATGAACTAAACAGATCAATTATTAACCAGAAAATTGAATACAAGTCCTAAACGGTAAGGGAAGAAAAATCCTAGTAATCCTACAATAAAGAAATTACTTCAACCCACCTATCTACAATAAAAGCGAGGTTCTCTTGGTGACAGAAATAAAGTGTAAATGCATATGTGCATACATAGCTACATTGTACAGAAGTACAAACAGGTACAGATATACAAACAACTACAAACTTACACATGCATGCACAAGCACGTCCGCATACATAGAACATCATAATCAACTAATCAAGAATGAGCGATCCATACAAGCTGGGAACAAACTCATAAAAATTCCTCGTTTATAACAACTGTGTCATTTTTCTTATAAGAACCAACATAAATAACCATGTTGCATTACGTATAATCACACAATTAGCAACACCTCAGTTCTCAAATTGCTTACCCTCGAATAAAGAAACCCATGCAATAAATAAACTTAACAGCTTAAACTTCAAGTGACCAACCCCACATTGAACACACCAAACAACAGCACAACATAAAAAGTGGTACTCAAAGGCCAGTATCAAAATGACCCACATGAGAATTCCCATCGAGAAAGCAATATAATGAAAAAACAAAACAACTGTTTGTCAAAAACAGCAAAACAACCCTACGAGAGTGAAATTCACAAACCATTCAAGGGTTTATTGGACATAAAATTTAGAATTCCCCACCATTTATTGGTTGGGACTTGGTGGACTGACGTGAGTTAGAAAAATATGTACTGAAAGTGTACAACCCCGCTTGTCAAAACAGAAAGACAACACTACAACACCGAAATTCACAAACCAGGGTTTCCTAGACAGAAATTTTGAATTCCCCCACCATTTCTTGGCTAGGAGGACTTAGTGGAGTGATACGTGTTAGATAAAAATAGAGTGAAAAAAACACATCACCTGTTTGTCAAAACAGCAAAACAACCCTACATACAGGACCGAAATTCACAAACCATTTGAAGGGTTTCCTAGACAGAAAATTTTGAATTCCCCTCCATTTCTTGGCTAGGAGGGCTTTGTTGAGTTATGTGTGTTAGATAAGAATACAGTGAAAAAAACACAATACCCGTTTGTCAAAACGGCAAAACAACCCTACAGGACCGAAATTCACAAACCATTTGAAGGGTTTCCTAGACAGAAAATTTTGAATTCCCCTCCATTACTTGGCTAGGAGGGCTTAGTGGAGTTAAGTGTGGTTTATATAAAAATACAGTGAAAAAAAAACACAATACCCGTCCGGCAAAACAGCAAAACAACCCTACATGACTGAAATTCACAAACACCATTTGAAGGGTTTCTTGGACACAAAATTCAGAATTGACCCACCATTTTTTGGTTAGGACTTAGTGAAGTGATGTGAGTTTGATAAAAATATGTAAGCCAAGCCACAATGTTAAGGAAAGAGAAGGAGTTACCGAAGCTCAACGGATCTGGGGGACCATGTATTTCGAAAGTGTGCCTGAAGCCCCCTGAACCCAAACGCCCGAGTTTGGAGCGGGTTAGAGAAATTAACAAAAATTAAAATAAAATGAAAAAAGAAAGAAGAAAGGCGGTGTAGAGAGGGAGAGAGAAAGACGGCTCTGATATTCTTACCCCCGACACTATAGCATTTTTAGCGTGAAAACACTGTTTGCCTGAGGGCTTTATAAAGCTTTAATCGTGGTTTGCATGGGAATATTAAGGTTGATCAGGGAGCTTAAGGTCTTTTTATGTTATATAATTAGAATACAATGGTCTTTTTACAAGGTAGGTGTTGGACATTTACCTTGGTTTTGGGGGTTAAAGTATAATTTGGTAAAAGTACAAGGGTACGGATGATTATGCCGTTGTGGTCTTGGTACATGCATCTTCAGAACTCTGGGTGCATCTTGTAATAATTGCATAATTTTGTGGAAAGGATTTTATAAATATACCTAGGTTTTTTTTCTCGAAAGATATAGCTTAGGTTTTTATCTTATCTTATGACCCTTACAGTTGAAGTTCTTAATTTAGAAAGAGAGCATCTCGTTAAGATATGAATTTTTGTTGTAGTTAGTACATAATTTGTGAAATGTCGATCATTGAATGTAAAAATAATTTCATACTATAATGATTGGCTATTCATAATACAATGTTGCATACTTATTTATAATACAACATCGTTTATTTTTGTCTTCTTTTTAACGGCTAATTAAAAAGATATTATCCAGAACAACGATCGCACGATACGTTACACTTTCCAAACACACGTGTTGTTACTTACCTCAGGTGCAAAATAGTTAAAATTATAATACGTCATGTTTCATTTAAAACGTATCTCACTGTTATCACTGACACAACGCATTAAATACATAAATTTTTTGTCATCAATTACAAAAGCTTGTTGCTTCATTTGCGAGTTTAAATACAAATTGTGGATGCAAAGCATCATTTTCAACGACTCTCAAAGATCTATGCACAAGTGTGATTGGTGAGCAATGAACATTGTAGTGAAGAAGATGGAGATGGGCATTTTTCTCACTACCCAAAGAAAAAAACATGAACATGCCCTAGGGACAAATATAAATTACTTTTAACATTGGGGAGCACTTTACAAATACCCTAAAACTGTGAGCTTTTAAAAAAGAAAAATTAAAACTTATTTCATATAAAATAGTGCGTCATGTTTGAGGGGTGTGTGTGTGTGAAGGCTGGCATGGAATGGGAGGAAAGAAATAAAGAAGGCAAGCTCATCAATTCGTATGGATTCTTTTTTTGTTCTTATGCATTTTGACAAGTGGACTTCACGCAGTGCATGCACACACACACGCGCACATCAGATGCGAACGTTATGAACTTTCTTAATATTGTTTGCATCCTAATCTGGAATATATCAAACGGACAGCGACAAAAGAATCTGACATTTATTTACGTTTCGGCAATGACCAATCGAAATATCGCATTTGCAACAAACTCAAACTGGTTTGTTTTTGTTCTAAAGGAAAATTTAAAATAAAAATAAAAAACTCTCCCCAAAATAAATACTGAGAAGAGAAAGCACCCAAATGAGGTTTGAACTCAAGTTGACTTTTGAAGTTGTAAATGCTCATATTTTTTTGGTAATTTCCAACCGCATGCACAGCGAAAAATTAATTTCCAAACGAAGCAAAAATACATGTACTTGTAATTACAAAAATCCCAAACTATTAACTTACAAAGCCCATACAAAATATCGGACCAGAGTAGGTATAAAAAAGCCCATGTCAGAGAATAAGTGGAAAACTGCAAAAAAAATAAAAAAATTGCGGTGAGCGTGGATCGAACACGCGACCTTCAGATCTTCAGTCTGACGCTCTCCCAACTGAGCTATCCCCGCAATTGTGAACACAATTACTTGAAAATACTATTTATACATCTTAAAATTTAAGTTTTAGTTGTTTTCTCCTTTACTTTAACCTCTGTTAAGAAAAACTAATTATATATTGATTTGAAATAAACAACTCCTCTCATTTGTAGCAGAATCTAAGTTCAGCAAATCAAAAATATAATAATAATTGAACAAACATCAAGGCGTAAGAGAAGAATTTTCTTTTGGCTTTGTTCTTTTTTATGAACCTGAAAAACACACAACTTCGCTTTCATCAAATGCAACATCTAACCAGCCGGGAGGCCTTTTTTGCTTGTCCATGATAGACTCAAAAGCAAGACAAAAAACCAAAAACATAGCCAAAGAGAAACAGTAAACATCTGATGCAGATTGCAAGTATAGTGAGTGCAAATCACTTCCATTTTTCCATTAGAAACTCTTCTTCCGAATGCATGAGAATTACTTTCACATATCTGAATTCTAAACTAAAAGTCCTAGGGTACTGTCCCACGCCATAACCCGACTCTTCGGTTGTTTGATAAAAAGGCAACAGATAAAATGATAATACTGTGTAAAAAGATGTATCAAGTATACAAAGTGCATGGCATGGGTGAATAGTCTTCAAGATGAATGGTTGGAGCCGAGGGTGGTGATCGCCGAGTAAACCTCCCTTACAAAGAAAAAAGGCCGTTGAAGCAACTAAGCACGCAAAACAGGCCTTCTATTCCCCATATATGTGAGAAAACTCTCAAAATTGGTGAAATGTAGAAATTCATATCAAAGAATAACTATCTATCTACCTATCTATCTGTTCAGAGGCTCTAATTGAACTTCCATTCTTCCTGAAGTTTGTGATTCTTTCTCTGCATGCACTCCGTTCGGGCTCAACAGATCAACAGAGTCATCTTCCTCCACGTTCCCCAGCACCCAATTGCTTCTTCCAAAACTTCTATCCCTCCTTTGTTGTTTTTCACGGTATTCCAGATACATAACTATCAATGCACCAATCAAGAACCAAATTATTAAAGCCCAATTAAGTCCATGAACATTTTCGCCATCATATCTATCTCCTAAATGCTTCATTCCACTGAACAGTGCTGCAATGCCTACAACAAAGGCACACCTTCCACCGATCACATGAAAGTACTCCCAAAGAATCCTTTTAGAGGAAACCTCCTCTCCATGAGCTGGTCTCTTGGGCCTTAGGAATGCATTCACTGGTTGTATACAAGCCAAAAATATCGCAGTAATCCCAAACTTAACATGCAATGAGCTGACATAGAAACCTCGAAGTTCAGCAACAGCAAAAAGAAGGGCAAGTAGGACGATTACCAAACCTGAGTACTGCAAATAAACATGAATCTTGTACCACCCATCACCCTTAACATGTTTTAAGTATCTAGCCGCCAGTATTCCACCAGGAAGCAACATACCCCAAGCGAGAAACATCATAAATCCATGTACAGCCAATACCGGCTGTAAATCCTGCTCCGCCTCTGCAGAACCACGCATAAGAAGTACCCTAATAGGCCTACTGCTCGTAACAAAATGCATATTTTGTTCACTTAGATGCTCATCTGTCCATGTAGAACCCATTGCCCAAATAACTTTAAGAGGAGTAGTGCGATCAATTATGTTTCTACACTCCGGTCTATCACTCTTACCACATGATGGATTCAAGGGGCGGGTGAACTCGAATGTAATGATGCCATTTTCCGACCTGCACCTCACATAAGTCAAATTCTCAAATGTTGGATGCACACTCGAGGCATCCTTTCCATCAATCCAATAAGTGTTTACCCGGCCTTTGCCAATGTTATCAATCCAACCCACATAAGCATAGCTGTTTACCATTCCCCTGCCAAATCCTATTGCCAAAAAACCGCTCTTCTTCTCACCACGAACTGCAATAGATACTGACTTTTCTGACAATGTCCAAAATAACGTAACTTGCTGATCATCCAAAATAACACTGTTATTATACATATCAGGCAGACCCCCATCAACCACCTGCACTTTATAACCCATTTTCTGCTCATAAAGAGATTGATAATACACTTGGTCTGGAGTATTCCTATCTGGTTGCCAAACCAATTCCATGGGACTGGCTTGAACTCCTTGAGCTTTAGGTCCTCCTGCATAAATAATCTCGGTCACATTCCTCAGGGTAGCATTCCCACCAAGCGGGTCTGAAGTAATGTAGAGCGCAACATTGTGCCCTGCTTGTATAGAAAACTTGACAGGCACCCCTCGTTCCACTCTCAACATCGGAGCCTCTTTCTTGTTAATGTACAAAACCTTTGAAGGGTTTGGAGGGTTTGGATAATGCAATGCCGGGCCAGAAGTAACCACAAGTGGGGCATTGGCATCGGCGATGATGAGTTGTTGGTCCTCCTTGTCTTCTGCATCCAGAGGACCCAAACAGTCATTCACATGCTCAGAAACATTCAGCACCAAATGTCCAAAAACCACAAGCCTTGGTCCCCCATGGTTTTGAGGAAGATAGTGAGGCTGAAGAAGATCTGGGGGCCTTATTGGCCCCAACGCCCAAATCACCGTCATTTCCTCTGTATGGTTCACCGGCAAATCGTACTTCTTGTCGTCTGATATCAACGGCCTCTGGTACCTAATGAACGACACGGCGTCCCTCCTCTGCCCATAAACCAATTTGGTATTGTTAACCTCGCTATTCTGGCCGGGCCCTTCGTATCTCGTATCCGGGCAAACCCCTTTCACCTCACCATCCTTGTACAAAGTACACTCGCTGTACTTTGTGATGTAAAAATCATTCACAAACGGCAGGCCGTCCTCTTTAAACCCGGTGACGGCGACGTCGGCCCCGAGCATGAGCTCCGAAGTCGAGTTCGGGCTGGACCACCCGAAAGCCATGTAATTCATAGTCCCGGTGGCGGCCTCCAATCCAATATCAATTATATTCTCATCAGAATTCAATGTCCATCTAACCCTATAGTTCTTCGACAATACCTTACAGTTCTCCAACATAGTCGGCTCCGTGTGGACCCGACCCGTCCCGTTCCACGAACCGGTTGCGCTCGACGGCGACGGTGAAGGAGCCGGGTCGGACGACCCGCTTCTGAAATCGCCGAGAATCACGTGTCCGAAGTCGGAGGCGGTGGGCCGGTCCCACACGGCGAGAACCTGGATCCGATCCCAGGTGACATTGTCCCTCAAACGTACCGTAAAGCTCGCGCTTTTGTAGGTCTCGTTGAGTTTCTGATCGGAGACTACGAAGCCGGCGCTGAGGTTGGTGAAATCGGGAGCGGCGGCGCCCCACCAGTGGACGTCGGAGCCGGGGAGCATGTCGAAATCGGAGACTTTGAAGGAGCAATCGTCGATTATCTTAATTGAGCCTCGGAGCTGGTGCTGTACCATTTTGAATTCGGACTCGGAGTTGACGAGAGGGCTGGTCTTGAGGCAATTGGAACCGGGATCGGCATGGCAGAATGTGAGGAAGAAGAGGCTGAAGAGAAACCCTAGGATATTGGGTTTGCGAGGCATGAGGGGTGCGAGATCCGGATCCGATCGGATCTATTTTGTGTGTGGGTTTGGATCCGAATCACTGGTTCTATTCGTAATATGAATTCAGAGATTAAAAAGGGGTAGAGAGAGGGTGGAGGAGGGAGATGATAAAATCACCAGGTGGTGGTCGGAGAAAGCGGATGTGAGGCTCGCCGTCGATGAGCTGTGTCCTTCCTTTCTGTTGGGTGAAAAGAGTAAAGAGAGAGGAAATTGGGGTGACACGGTCGGCAGGAACAGAAGACCGAGAGGTCTCGACGTGCGTGAGCTTTTCATAAAGTGGTTTGCCACGTTCTTTTTTGATTCAATTTCAAGGAACAACTTTATTTCTTTTTTTCTCTCTTTGGATCCGAAACATAATAGTGTGCCAGATGTTTTCTATTTCTTTAGAAAAATTTGTTTTCACGTATTTACGGTTGTTGTTTCATTCTTATTTAAATAAAAAAGGAATTTGTAGCTCGAGTAGTATACTAAATTAATCCATGAAAGAATATAGTTTGACATTGGAAAGGAGGGTACGGACATTGTAACACTAATTGCTTATGGAGTTACATTGCAGCTGAATTTTGGGTCGCAGATGCTTCGTCGGGGAAAAAAGGATTATTTAAAAATAAAATAAAACCTCGGAAATGCCAAAATATCCAGAGATTTTCGCAGGATGTTACGGTGGAAGCAGCCCATCTGAACATCGTCAACGCCGCCCAACGTAGACAATGGGACTAGCCAATCAGCAAGGGAGACGCTTCCTCACGGTTGCTAAACTAAAAGTGCTTTTTTTTGTTTGCTTTATGTTTATGCAATCGGTGGAAGCAGTCTTGATTTGTTTATGCAACACAGACAGATAGATACAACTGCAGCCTGCAGACCAGAAAATAAAAATAAAACAAGACATAATAATATTGGATCAAATTTTACAGTGCAACTCAAGAATTGAGTTCTGCTGATTCCAAAAGCTTGAGAGCCAGAATGTTACAGAAGACTCATATAACCAGAACATCTGAAAAATAAAATTTTATGTGGTCACTCTTTTTTTACACTCGGGATTCTTGTTTAAGAATGATGATGAACTGCATTGTCATACTGTACGCTCCCCAACAGACGATGACAATAACAGAACAGTCTTACAGCTGATTCCTATAGAAGAGTGATAGTGTAGCTGCTGCTTCTGCAAGCTTTCCCCCATTCCCGCCCACTGTCACTACTCTGTCCAAACTTCATAAAATTGGTGATTCCTTCAGCAAGATTCAACTCTGCATCGCCCTTTCAAAATCATGGAAATAGGTTTGTGACAAATGGAATTACAAAGTTACAAGTAGCATAAGACATTAACACTGAACAAAGTTCCATTCATTAAAGGAAATGACATGATAAAAGCAATCTTGAGCAGATGAAAGGAAAAATCTCCAGCTACAATATTATTGTGCGTAAGATAAACATCACTAAGACAAGGACTCTCTTTCTTTTCCAAGGCATCTCTCATTCAGATTCACAAACAGACTACCTGTGGCTGTAAACTAAGTCCAGCAGCCATAAGTGAACACCTCTGCACCCAAAAGATACATAAATAGCTAAATACAAAACCACTGATGATTGATCAAAGAATAAGTAGCACATCTATATATGGTATCCAATAAGCAATCAAATAACTGTTGACTTCTATAAAGTTCAAAAATGTTAGAGATAGAACAAGAATGCATCGATCTGCGGCTGCCAAGAACGAAGCAAATGATGATGCTGATGAGAATGGAGCAATAGAACACTAAAGTCAAATTAGCGAGGAACAAAACGCATTGAAAGAAAACGTCATGAACTTTTATTGAAACACTAACTGCAATAATATACAAGAAACTCGGAGCTACATAACCGGTTAAGGTTTCTGTTACAAGCAAGCAAAGAGGAAAAAGTTAAAACTAAAACAACAATTCTTTTGCGAAAGTGTACAGAGAAAACTACCATGTCTCACACTCAAATAGTCTACAATATCCATCAATCTTTTGACAATTATTTTCTTTCAATTAGTACTCTGTCCATTCTCAACACCGAGACCATACAATACACCAGCATATTTCTCAGCTGTGCCACCGAAAAAGGTATCCCTTAATTTCCTAAACGTACAAGCTGTAAGCAAACTGTCTGAGCCTGCTTGATGGCACACACCAACTCTTTCCACTTCCAACAATTCTGCAAGCTTGTTCAACCCACCATGAAGGCTATTGCAGAACTTCATCAAATGCTTGATATCATACACCACTGGGAAGAAGGCCTTGATCAATTCAAAGAAACCCGCTTGGGAGTCGGGCAAACTCAGACCAGTCAATAGCTTAAGCAAGTATCCAAAGTCATATCCACTATGAAAAGTAACCCAATGCACTTCAGCATTCAATACAACCCCTGAAGACACCAAGAGCTCACCAAACCGCTTCACATCAATTCCCTTCTCATTGTTCTTCTTAAAATCAATCCCACATTGCCGCAGCAACTCAATCGAATCGCTAGCAAAGATGTCTTCGCTTACATTGAACTCACGGAAATTGAATTGCCAAATGTATTGGTTCTGGGTATCAAGATCGGGAAGTTTACCATTCTTGTCAGAGAAAGTGAGACCCAATTGAATCAATTTCAACATATCGACATTGTCCTTCAGGGTCTGGTAGTTATAATCATTGATGTTCTTGAAGGCCCCCACCGGGCGAAGAACCACGCCGGGGAACTCGGTGTCCATAGCAACATAATTATACTTCTCAACAATCTCACGGATTATAGCAAACTCTTCATCAAGATTATCACTCCACACTTCTCGGATTTGAATCGAATCCCCTTTCGGTAAAATCGACATTTCCAATATATCAAATCAAGCAACAGGACGATAAATACTATTAAACCCAGATCTGTAAACAGAGCTTAAAGAGTTCAAGAACTCCCAAAAGAGAAAACCCCAACTTGGTTCAGTCCAAAACGACGGCGTTTTAACGCTTCAACCAGATCTAGACCAAACCCAACAGGTTTACAATAAAGGATTAACAAGCAGTCAAGAACCTCAGAACCTGAACTGGATCTTACGGATTGAGCACCAAAACGACAGCGACTTTGTGATTCCACTGAGATCTGAAACGAAAGCGATAAGAAAACCATAAATCAGCGACGAACAACAGCACTTAGCTATGGTACAAGGCAGAACCTTGTAAAGCAAAGCGATTGGAGAAGAAACTCGGAGTAAGTTAAAGATCTGACCTTTGATTTGAGGAATTCAGGCCTGAGATTAACAGATCTGGGACTTGAAAACAGTGATTTGGTCTTCTGCGGATAAAACTTCTAGGTCAACGGACCCAGAGATAAAGAGAGAGAAGGGACTGGAGAAGAACGTGGTTTGAGACCTTTACTGGGGTGGGTTCTTAACGACTGAGAGGACGCAGCCGAAAGGAGAAAGTGATGTCGCCAAGGAACGGATGAAGGCCACGAAACGCCGCCGTTTTGCTCCCCAAATGCACAAAACGACCACGTTTCGTCTTCCCGTGCTTTGTTCAGGATCAATAATTTGCCTTTTGTCAAATACTGATGAGGGATAAGATTAAGCCGTAATCTGATAAAATTTTATGGAAAAATATCCCAGAAATCAAAAGTTATCTCAACTCTCTCACGTGGGTTTAATGAAATTATAAAATCATGTCATAAATTAGTGCAAAATATTCATGCAGTTTTGGTTGAATTAATGCAAAATATTGTTTTAAAAAATTGATAAATTTTAACTTTTCTGCATGTTTATTGGCTTATAAACATTCTAATATGTAAATAACTTTTATGCATGTTTAAGCGGTAAAGAGCAGCAGATATGAATTTAGTCAAATTGATTACGGCGGATTTACTTTTCATTCTGCACCCGAGTTTGAATCCGCAGTAATCTTTTCAACCCAATTTCTAGTGTTTGAATTCTCCACTTCAATATTATTTGTACAAAAGAGTCGTACTTGATAGGCCAGGCCACCGGCCACCTAGGCTCAGTCAACACCTAGAAGCCATCAGCCCAAATAATTTGGACCGCCCATTTTTCGACAGCGAAATGACTCAAAACTAAACAGTATAACTATTTGGGCTTTGCCAAAAGTGTCAAAAATTGGACTGTGTGACAAAAGCAGAGAGACACGCACCGCGTTGCGCTTGTCCTACTCTTCTATCCTATTCCTGTCCTATCATTTGATTCACATTTTGGATGGCCCCAGGGGTCAAGTCTTTTTTTAATTATATCTTTATTTAATTTTGGAAATTAAGAGGTTCAGCTCGATCATGTAGAAGCCACCACTTGTAACTTTTTGTCTTACCACTTTTTTTAATTAATTCAATTTTTATCTAATATTAGTAATAATTTTGTTTTGGTACAACGTGGACGTGTTGTCCTCACAAAGCTTCTTTCTTTGAAGCCATAGTTTTTTTATTAATTGTTTTATTCAATTCTATTTTTTAATTTCACATCTTTAAAAAATTCATTTATCCCTTTGATATTCTTATAGCTTGTTTGGGAGTGATTTTGGGAGAATCATAATCACTTATAGGGAAAAGTACATTCTACGTGTTTCTCCATAAAATCACTTTAAATTATTTTAAGTGATTATGGGGAGAAACATATTCTGGGCTCGTTTGGGAGTGCTTTTGGAGCAGCGAAAAGCGCTTCTAAATGGGTGAAAGCGCTTCTGTCTTTTAAAAATGGTGTTTGGCAAAAATTGCAAAAGCGCTTTGGGTGAGATCCAAAAGCACTTAGAGTGGTTTTAGAAGAAGCACTTGAGAAGTGCTTCTTTTTAAAAGCGCTGCAGGACAAAAACACGGGAAGCACTTGGCTTCCTTTAATGAAACTTTTAAAATACCTAAAATATCCATATTTAATTTTTTAAAATGCTAAAATACCCTTTCTTTCTTTTCTCTCTCTCTCTCTCTCTCTCTCTCTCTCTCTCTCTCTCTCTTTTTCTCTTAATGATGACCAAAGCAAAGTCATTTCCTTTCTTCCTATTATATTTCAGTTAAATTTATTATTAATCTCTCGTGAATGGTCCCTTAAACATGACTGCTCTAGTTTTCGTCAAATGTCCATGGTTGTCACTGTTGTTTTGTCATCAATGATTATGAGTATGATATGATTGGTCTGTGAAGATGTTTTAGCACTTGTGGAACAGCAATCCGTGTTTTGTTTTGTTTTGTTTTTTTTTTCCTTTCTTTTAATCTGTTATGTGTTTCACTACTGGGGCATTGCATATGTTTTTGGCTTTGTTTACAAGTATTTTAGGTTGTTTGACTTGATATTCTCTCAATGAAGATGAAGACGAGATCACCTCTTCTCGGTGACATATGTTGCTAACTGCAGAACCACATGCTTCTTTTGTCTTCAAGAGCCTTTAGATATATTACATTCGAATTGGTTCTCACTATTCACATGTTGGTGCTCTATTTTCAACCTGTCTCTTACTGTGGTTTTTTGCCATATCCTACATTGTGTACAGAATTTTGTTAATCTTGAACCAAGTAGGGCAGAGATCAGCCATGCAAAGTAGCCTTCTTGTATTGTACTGTTCTTATTTACGAGCATCCCGACGGTGTTATTCAAAATTTTGAGGTGGTTCTTACCAATTCCTTTTTAATTTCATATATTACGCCCACATGTCCACTAAACTTACACATCAAAGCATGCAGGGGACAATTTGGTTGTTGGGTTTCCTTTCTTGCTGTTGCTGCAAACCTCATCTTACCTCAAACTTTTTCAGTTATTTTTTTTATATCCTCGAGTCTCATTTATGTCTACAGATTGTGTTGTTATTTTAGATTTCGGTTTCTGATGATTGTGTATGTGATTTTAATATGTGCTTTACTTTTGTGTGGGCTGGATGGCGAACACGAGAGAATTGCAAATCTTCTTATGTCTGGTTAATTCCTTTTTATTTTCAAAAAATGATTAAAAATTATACTCGGTGAAGTTCATACTTTTTTAAGTCATGTTTTTATTTTGGGATCCTATGAATTTTTATTTCCTATGTTTATTATAATATTTTGGGATTCTTTAAATTTTTTTAAAGTATTTTTAAAAGCGCTTTTACTGTATCAACTAAACACTCAAGAAAATATCAAAAGCACTTTTATGTAGTGTACAAGTACTTTTAAATGTGACATCCAAACGACAAACTGCTACTTTGTAAAACTGCTTATGTCATAAGCGCTACTGACATAAGCGCTTCGGGAAGAAGCACTCCCAAACGAGCCCTCTATGTTACTATCCATAAAACTACTTAAAATAACTTAAAGTGATTATATAAATAAGTGATTCTCCATATAATTGATTATTGGCTTATCTAAAATCATTTCCAAACAAGCCCTTAATCACTTTTAATCATATCATTTTATTTTTATTGTATGAATGACCACTTTCTTTCCTTGAACCCTTTTGATTCCACTGCTTTTGTCTTTCTCTTTTTGGATCATTGCTTATAAAATTTCCAATAATCTTTTGTTTACTTGTAATGAACTGAATTATGCTCATACAAATTTTACAATTATTTGGTAACAGAGATGATTTGGTAGTAAACTTGTTCATTATATTGTAAATAATTTAACATTTGACCTATTTTAATACTAACATCAGCCTACATCACCGGCTCATATAGCATTTTTCACATAATTTAGGGGCCCTTTATTTACCATGAATCGGGGAATTTAGGAATCGGGAAAGTAATGAATAGGTATTAGAAGAATCATTTCAATTAAGCTGTTTATTAAAAACCATATGAAATCAACACATAAAGAAATGAAAGGGCAAATTCCATATTATTTTTGCTTTATCATTCAAGTTGAATGATTTCGAAATTATGGTAATTTAATCATACAACTAAGGGATATTATAAGTCTTAATAAGGGAATTCGAAATGATCTTTAGCAATTATCAATTGACTTGGCTGCAAAAATATATGTTCTTTGTCCAATTTTTAATTGATGGTCGATCGAAAACTAGTTTTATTTATTTATTTATTTATATTTTGTTTGTAAAAAGTTAAAAAAACATGTCATCTAACAAGTTACAAAGCTAAAACCTGAAATTAATTGATCATTATGTATGTGATAATAGTTAGGCAAAAGTAACCAAAATTGTTACTTCTGACTCACCACCAAGCTCTCTCTTCATTTGAAATTTCAGGTTTTTTTTGGGGGGGGGGGGGGAAGTAGTAAGTTATCTCTTTTTTATGGCATGCATGTATGTTAATAATTAACACTCCCTCATGAAGAACAAATATATAAGCAAAATAAAGTTATATACATGTTTGTTTTTATGTTAATGTCACTTGGTTACATACATGCATGCCATACAAAAGAAGAAAACTCTTCCCTTTCTCTCTCTCATGCATGCCATAAAATTGGAAATAATATAATTGCATAATTGTTATGTTTACACGAACTAATCAAATGTTGTGAATCATAAGTAACATGTGACAATGTAAAACTGTAAAAAAACAAAAATTAGGCTAAACCTTTGAGGCATTTTTAGGACAAATGAGTAATTTTCTATCCAATTATTTTTTTAAATGTTAAATTTATAAAACACACACTAATACTCAACCATCAACCCCAACCCTAAACAACCCTAGTTTAAACCCTTTCTTTTTTATAGATATAATTCATCACCAAAATTATAAGTTTTGTTAACATTCACTGCCTAGGATAAATTCAATTTTCTGGATTTTCCCTTTCAACGTTTTTTTTTGTTGGACTTTAAGGCAAAGACAACAGATAAATAATAAAATCCAACAACAAATACATAATTTAAACCAAATGAAAAATAGCATACCAACCTGTTTGTTCATTTTCAAGTGAAGCATTGTTTGAGAAAGCTCTTCCTTTTTTTCTTTCTCTATCTTTTTAATTTCCAGATAAAAATCTCAAAAACCACATCAACACATAATAAGGCTATAAATGTAACATTCAACATCGACTAACAGAGAGGGGATGATGTGCCTTATATGTACATGCCTACCTCCATCTAGCACGAGGCCTTTTGGGAGCTCACTGGAACTCCGAAGTTAAACAAGTTTGGGCTAGAGTAATCTCATGATGGGCCACCCACTGGGAAGTTGCTCATGAGTTTCCAGAAACAAAACCGTGAGGACAGGGGGCCCAAATATGACAATATCGTGCTACAACGGAGTCGATCCGGAATGTGACAAAATGGTATTAGAGCCACTCTGCTGTGTGGTTTGAGTGTGCCGATGAAGACGTCAGGCCCTTAAGGGGGTGGATTGTAACATCCCACATCGACCAATGGCGATGGGGTGATGTGCATTATATATACATGCTCACATTTCTCTAGCACGAGACCTTTTAGGAGCTCACTGGCTTCGGAGTCATGGGAACTTCGAAGTTAAGCTAGTTTGGGCTAGAGCAATCCCGTGATGGATGACCCACTAGGAAGTTGCTCGTGAGTTCCCAAAAACAAAACCGTGATGGCAGGGGGCCTAAAGCGGACAATATCGTGCTACGACGGAGCCGATCTGAGATGTGACAAGAAACAATAATAATAAATGAACTAAAAATTAAAGCAATAATTTAACTAATGAACAAGGATGAAGGAATAATAAAATCTGGATTTTGAGCAAATTTTTCTTCAATTGAAGCAAATAACAACTTTTTTGTGTTTTATATATCAATAACAATATCAATCAATTATATTCAAATAACAATCAATATCAATAAATTCTTATAATCCATAAAAAAACACTACATATATCAATTTCATTAAAAATATAAATTCTTCCACTCACTTGAAACTTGAAATGATGGGAGGCAAGGCAAGCAAGCAACTCAAGGGTAGTCGGCCGCAACGGCAGCAGTAGAGTGGTGGTGGTGTGTGTGAGAATGAGGGGTTTGAGTTGGTTTAATTCATGGAGGAGTGAAACTGTGAAACAAATTTGGGATTTAGGGGTTTGGGTGTTGACTCTAGTAGAGATAGGTAGGAGGGATTTTGAGTTTTTTATTATTTAAGCTTGGCTCAAAACGAAGTTGTTTTGATGCTAGGTAATTAAACAACTTTGAAACCTTTTGAACCAAAATGACGCCGTTTTGGTTAGGAAGTTAAAAAATAAATATAAATTGCCCAGCATGCAGCACCCAGTGCAGGGCCTTTGTGGCCTTTCATCAAGCACCTTGGGGTTGTTGTTCTGCTCACCATGGAGTATGCTCAAACATCCATGGCCATGTTTTCGACTAGTTAATGGGGTCAAGCGACCCCTCTTGTCCCTTAATCTGTCGGCCCCTGCACAAGCCCTTTCGTTGTGCACTATTTGCTAGTCAACCAGTGACAACAAAAAATGAATCGTATATCACTTCACAATGTGTTGTTTTATTTGTTAGATTTATAGATATGCTACAGTCAATTGTCTACAAGCGCATGAATGGTTCTTGATCATAATATATAAGAATTATAATGCATTAATAGCCAAAAAATTTCACGCATGGACAATTGACGCTAGCAAAATTCAACCCCTCCTTCCTACCCCAGCAGCCAAAACAAGAAGAGAGAGAATTCTCACTTAAACAAGTGAAGTGAGTGACATGGAAAACAAATCCCACATGTATCTCTCTTTATCTACGTGGCAGACTGTGATAGGTACAATGATGTCAAGACTCAAGTCACAGTAACAGCCGAAGCGCCAAAAGCCAAAAAGCCAGTGATATGCTGCATGTCTTTCAGAATAAACCTAAAAATCGAAACAAAGGGGTCCAAATTCCAAAATTTGCGAAAT